TGAAAGAAGCCAGGCACAGCGGGCACATGTTACCTGATTCCATCTCCAAGTATATCCAGAATAAGGGAATCCGTACAGAATGAAGCCAGTTGCAGCGGCTGGGGAGAGGCAGGGGGTAGAGAGCATAAGGAGTGAGTGTTTGGTGGTTGGGGCGGGACGATGAAAAGCTCTGGATCTGGGGCTGGTGAGATGGCTCAGTGGTCTAAAGCACCTACTTAGAACAAGCTAAGCTAAGCAAAAGCACAGCGACCGCGGTTCAATCCCCAGCACCACATGCCAGCCAGCCCCGCCCCCTGGTGGGCTGAGCTGGCCACACACACACACTAAATAAATAAATTTAAAAGAAAAAAAAAGAAAAGCTCTGGATCTGACAGTGGTGATGGTCACGCAGCGATGTGAATATATCCCAGCCACTAAAGTATGTGCTTCAAATGACACAAAGAATACATTTCAATTTATTTATTTTGTGATACTGAGGATTGAATCCAAGTCTTCTGGAATGTGAGCTAAGGATTCTACCACTGAGCTATACCCTCAGTCCCAGAGACTAAACTTTGTGGTATATATATTCTGCCACAAAAGAGTGTCTTCAAAAGACCAAAGTCAAGCCAAGTCAAAAGACCAAAATGAAAGGAAGAAACCAGATATGACAGTGCGCATCTGTAATCCCAGCACACTGGGAGGCTGAGGCAGGAGGGTTACAAGTTTAAGCCCAGACTGGGTGATTTAACAACTAAGACCCTGTCTCAAAAAAAAAAAAAAAAAAAACCCAAAAAACTGGAGTTTTAGCTGACTGGAAAGACCCTGGATTCAATCAACAGTGCCACAAAAATAAATAAGAAAGGATAAAATATAAGAGAAAAGAACAGGAGACTATTGATCTCCCAAAGGCCAAAGGAGATTTAATCACTAAATGCAAAGCATGATCATTGATTGGATCCAGGGTCACAAAAAGGAAGAAGTTCTCAGCCTCTATTAGAGGGAAATTGTGGAAGCCGAGGCATAGACTATGATAGCAGTCATAGTTTATAATAATAATAAGTTTGTATGTCAGAATGTATAGTATACACCGCAGGTCACTGTGGCTTCCTGGTGTTGTCAACTCAACATTAAGATTCAGTGGCTTAACCTCTGGTGTGACTGGGAGGAAAACGACCGAATCCAATTGGTTTAAGTATATACAGATGATCTCTAGTTTAAGAAAACCTGATATTAAGCACATGCCTAGCAAGCGCAAGGACCTGAGTTCAATCCCTGGTTCCCCCCCCC